GATGATACTACGATTGCCGAGACTGTTCAAAAGAATGACGTCAGTAATATGCAGTCAGTAGTAGACGACCTTGTTCAAGAAACTAAGGCAGATCGATTTCAACTTAATGAGGCTAAATGTAAAGAATTACGAATCACTTTTTCAAAATCATGTAGTGATTTTTCCCCTATAGTAATTAATAACAATTCTATAGAAGTTGTTTCTAATGCCAAATTACTAGGCCTTACTATTTCCAAAGACCTAAAATGGAACAACCATGTCTTAGAAGTTACCAGGAAGGCTGCATCTAGGCTGTATTTCTTAAGGCAATTTAAGCGTGCAAAGGCAGATACTGAGGAATTACTATGTTTTTATGTAACTTGCATAAGACCTGTAACAGAATATGCATCAYCASTTTTTCATAATAATTTACCTGCCTACCTTTCAGATGAGCTTGAAAGAATACAGAAACGGGCTTTAAGAATAATCTATCCTGACTTTAGTTATGCTGAAGCTCTTAAAGCTTCGAACCTAGTCTTAATGCACAGTCGTAGGAAGCACTTAGCTGAACGCCTTTTCAGTGATATCGTGAAAGATGAAAATCATAATCTCCATAACTTGCTACCCCCTCTGAATAGTTGTTMAAGGTCACTAAGACACAATCGCAAATTCCGGATTCCAACCGTCAAAACAAATCGTTTTAAAAATAGTTTTATCTTATCGCATGCGATCGATTTTTGATTCAGAAGCCATGTCCTCCTTTTAAGTAATTAGTGAAATATTTTAGATTTATATTTAGTATTTTCGTTATATAGTTATATAGTATTTTAGTTATATAGTTTATCCAGCCTTTTGCAAAAATTATGAGAATTGTCTAAATATCTAAATATCATAATATCCATATCCATATATTGTCCGGAACGCGTGGGTTTGCTAGAATAATTCATTGTTGACATCGAGAAAATGTTCAGAACTACGGATAAGTCTGTCGCCAAAAAAAAATAAACTACAAAGACAAGGGACTAAGGTCATCGCGCGGGATTACCCATCATGCACTCGATATTATGATATTTAGATATTTCAACAATTCTCATAATTTTTGCAAAAGGCTGTATGTTTTCTATTGTATATAATATTTATATATATATTTTTCTATTTCTATTTGTATTTATCTCTTTTTTTAGCTTGTAATATGCCGTAATTCAGCCCTTTGGCTGCAAAGGTATTTTTAATAAAACTATCTATCTATCTATCTATCTAAAATCAAATCAATTATCTAATTAGCAGCTGTGGTTTTTGATCTCATAATGACAGCTTAGGGACGTCATATACCCTAAAAGGGACAACAAAACTCAGTTGGTGGGAATTCTCGTCATTATCACCCTAAGCGGGACCAAAATACCGATTTCAAACCCTAAAAGGTACACCGAGGAGCCCCGCCCTTTGATATTAGGGAGTTCCCCCCCTGGGCTTTCATGTCTGAGCAGGAGGTTGGGTTAAAAAAATCGCCAAGTTTTGTATAGTTCAGATAAATATCTAAGAATTCAAAGCTGTTTAAAAATGTTAAAATTTACAAAAGAATGTATAGATTGTGGAAAAGCTGACAATACTCAGGTCCAGTGACCACGAACATTAAAGCATTGAACTGAGACGTCAAGGAACACTGCGCACAGATCTTTTCTTTTATGCCCATTGTACCTTGACGCCTCAGTTCAATGGTTGTGGTCACTAAACCTGAGTATGGATGCCYTCAATAGTTGTATTAAGCGTGTAGAAACAGGGACAGTGGAACCAGGGGGTCTTTAGCCCACTTCCCCCCCTCCCCCCCATTATTTCAAAAATTTAATTTTGTTTCATAATAAAAACTCGCTGTATTTTTTTATAATGTAATTAATTAACAGTTATATCTACTGCAAAATGACAATATTAATTAATCTTCCCCCTCCTTCCCCCGGCCAAAAATGCTTTGCCACCCCTGATAAAAGGCGATTGCAGGACGGACAGCAAGTACGGACAGCCACTTACGCCCAAAATTAAATAAGGGAAAAATGGAAAATGGTAAAGAACAAAAGTATAGGACTGCACATGGGAATTGCATGCTACACTTTCAAGATCAAATATTACAATTAATACACAAGCAAATAAAATGTAGAATGGAATCAGAGCAAGAAAAAAAGCTAAAAAGTTAGTCGAGACAGAATGAAAGTTACTAAATCAAAGGGATAAATCTAACATTGAAAACCCATCTATATAATATAATTTTAATAACAATTATAATTCCCATGCTTTTTACAATACAGTACTAATAAGTTTCAGCATAGTTACTAGAGAGGACTGACCTCACTATTAACTATGGTTTCAGTGATTAAATTCTACAGCAAATGAAAACTATTTGCTTCATTTTCTGAAAAAAATCATGACTTGGCTAATAAAGAATATAATTTGATAGACCAAAAAATCTTCCAATTTCAAACCCCACACCCAATTGCAAATCACGAACAACAAAAAGCAACATTTTAAAAGGCTACAAAATAAATTCTATAGATAGATTCACAATTTTCCATCTATGAATTTCTTTCCCTTCATGCTCATACTGAAGCAAATAATACAAAAGGGATTTATTGTCTGCAAATTCTCAGTTTAATGTTGGACTTTTCCAAGTCTCTAGTAAGAGTAAATGATGTAAGGTTTTTAAGTGTTTTGAATGTCACTTATACTAATTTAAAAGCTTTTAATGGTAAGATTTCCATGTCTGATGGATATCTTCTATAATATTCAATCAATCAACTCCAGGTAAGTAACAGGTACTCTGCCACGCTGCTGTCCACGTTCACCCATCATCCAATCATTGTCCATTCCAGGTAAGCTGTAGACTGTAAGGATCTAAAAAAATCCAAGAATGGTACAATGCAAAATTTTCTGTGTAAGTCAATAAAAAGGTGGTTTACAATGACATATTATATACAAGCCTGCTGTACACAATTGGTACTAGAACTAGTGATTCAGAAAAATAAAATTGCAGAGATTGTATACTATAGCTGTATATATTATATTCTCTGCTTTAAAAATGTTCAGAGAAAAGCACTCAAGATGTACTTGATATGATCTTATTACATGTACTGTCAAGCTCATTTGGTACCTTCCACCAGACTTACATTAAGCTTTGGCCAACTGAGAAATGTTGGATTACTCAACACTTTCCAATGTATTAACTAAGTGACCCAACATTTTGCCCATTGGACATCTTGTTCAATGGTTTTGTTGGTTATTGAGCACCAAACGCTTTGAATGGATTCAATTTAGAATTTCACAATTTGGCATATGTTCATCCGCAAGATCCTTCAACAAAACTTGTCTAAAAGGCCGTACATCATATAAGGGTTGTCAACAACAAATGAGTGGGTGATCATGTCTCAATTTTTTTGCCAAGCTTTAATAAAAAATTACAAGCACTCATTCTAAGACTTGCTCTTTTACATACTTCATCTGAGAGAAGCGATAATTCACTGTCATCAGCTGCATCATAATCATAAAGCACTTTAGCCTTTCTTGTTTGAGCAGGTTTTGGTAATCCTGACATGTCCTTCCCAGCACTGGGTGGAGCAGTTGGAGCTGCAACTGGTGGCATGATGTCACCAGGGGGGGAACCTAATTGACGTTGGAGATCTTGCATGTATTGGTGGCACTGTGCATAGTATTGCGCCTGGGCTTCAACAAAGCTTAATAAAGCACGATGGTGACTTGCCTAGAGTAAAAACATTATAGCTATGTTATGATTTATGGCAGATTCCAAATTTCATACAATGAGAGATTGACTATGAGTCTATAGGGAAAGGATTCATACCCAATCTCCCATTGACATGTGAAATGGAGATGATTTTGTGTTAGAGAAGTAAAAAGTAAGACATTTCTGTGCTCATTCCCCTGTGAATGTACTATACTCGTCATGTTTTTTTTGATATCTTCATTGTCTTCGACAAGTGATTCATGTTTTTGCACAGTATTAAACTTTGTCTTCTCTGAAACTCCAATATAGTAGAAAAAATGACGACATAAAACATTTGAGTGCTAATATGGGTGGGCTTTTACCTCCCATAAAATTTCATCTAATTGGCTTGTTCAAAAATGATAGAAAAGTTATTAAGATAAAGAGTGTCAATTAAATGCTCTTTTAAGAAAAACAATGCCAATCAGAGAATTTGTTCCAATTAGGCAAACAACTACCTGCTAATAGGAAGAATTTTCAACTGTTAAAAAGAATCATTGAATTTCAAATAAAGTGTATCATTTATTGGAGAACTGGAGAACTGGGCTTCCAGAATTTGGAAAACAAAAAAAACTAATAATCAAGTACATGTACACAATTAAAAATGCTATGAATTTTTTTAATTCTACATGACAATTCTTACATGAGCTGTATTGATTCCATCAAGAAGCAGCTTTGTTACTTCATACTGTCTATCAAATTCTGCTTGTGCAACTCTTAATTCYTGTTCAGCCTGAAATGGAAACAGCTTTTTTTAAGTTCCATTGATGCATGAGAATCTCTATGGAAACGTCATTAAGACTTTGCTCCCATGTCATATAAATCAAATGTTAAACAGCATAGTATTATAAAGGACCACATCTTCTTTTTTGTACTGGATACATGACAAAATAAATAGCAATACAAAAACAAAATGGGCTGATACCATTCAGAGGATACCAAACAACAATTACTAAATTTATGATCAATTTGAAAAAAAATATGAGTACTAAAAACTCCCCATTATATTGTTTTTTTTCCTACAGAAAGAAACTTCCATCCTCATCTAGTCTTGCTTTGAATATCATTTCACAATTTAATAACATTCACAATCGATGTAAAAATGTAAGATCGTTTGTTTAGAAGCTCAAGTCTTTTGTAGTAAAGAAGAATATAGTACTGTCAACATGTGCAATGTACTGCTCTTATATACATCTAGAGTGGTACACTTAGTGTGCCAATCCCAAATCTGTAAATACTATTGTCTATTGTATTATTTTGTAATCTGTTGTGTGTACGGATATAATGAAGATTGTGATAAGCAATAATAAAAAAACATTCACAATCAAACATCCTTTGGGCATAAAAGTTAAGGAAATGGCAGCAATGACGGTTTGTCATTGAAACAAAGCAATCTAAATTAATCTTTCCTGCATGTTTTTATTTCAGCACATTTATTTAATTCATCCTTATTGCTTAAACAAATTGTGAATTTTGTCAACAAACCCTGCACAAAGTATGTTTCAAAAAATGGTCATTAAATAACAACAAAGTTGAAAAATAAAATAAGGCTGCTTGACAGACTACAGTCCAATTTGTTTGCAAAAGAGATAACTGCAGTAATTATAGAAGAAAAATCATCGTATTTTTTACTTGATATATTTATAATATATTTTTATTGATTTTAATAATGATTTATTAAATAAATTCTTTATAGAGTTAAGTTCATACAAACATGTAGATCGAGTGGGAAATGCATGGTGAAGCCATGAGGTTATGAGAACTGCAAATGACAATATCAATTGATATTTATGCCTTATGCCAATATCGCCAGTCAATAAAATAGGACTTTTAGAAATACAGGTCTGGTCACAATTTGAAAGACAATGTAAATAAGACAACACCTTGTTACAAAAGTTATTAGTCGGACTAGCCAAAGACTAGATCGACTTGAGTTTTACCTTTTAGCCAATCTATCTATGTACCATGTCGCGTTTGGACCACCAGAAGTTAAGAATTTAAAGGCTGATTTACATGGTACGATTTGTCGCGCGCGACTTGTATTATACGATTTTCCTACTACAAGTCGTAGGATTTTAAGCAGTGGTTCAAAACCCTACTACAAGTCGTAGGTTGCGTACGCTGTTGTAGACAAGTCGTAGGGGCATTTACACTGCGTGATTCAAGTCGTACATGTATACTCTACAAGTCGCACGAGACAGTCGTGCCGTGCAAATCAGCCTTAATAATTTACTATTGGGTCAAGCGTGTTTTAGGTCTACTTTTACTAAAATAAGAAAAAAGGAAAACATAATGGCTTTTTGCTTTGATATTTCGACAACAAGAAAAAGATAATACTGAATTGGAAATACTGCAATAATATGGGGAAAAGCAACAATCTCTGTGAACTTCTTTTGCCGAAAAGTGTTGACAGACCATGCCAGCAGGACTAGATTGATGAGAGATTAAAGATAAATAATTCAGAGTACGAAATTCTCATAACATTATAACTAGCTAGTAAATATAATATTTGTTTAGAATATTTGTTTGCAYGTCAACAAACATTCCTTGAAACAGCTTAACTCTACTAAGGCTATCCTTGAAATAGTCCCAATAGTAGTACTAGATAATCATTTTCTTCTGAATTGCTAAGGGAGCTCCGCTATTAGGTGTTACCTAATTTTTATATTTAGCATAAACTTTGTTATATGGCCTATTATAAACAATGAAAAAAAGAGAGGAAGGAAGAAAAAAGCTTACCTGGTCCAATTCATTTATGAGAAACAAGCTATTAGTATTCTTATTTTTGGCAGCTGCAGAATGCATCTACAGTAAGATAAGAGACAGTGAAGGAAAGGAAGGAAGACAAGTTAATGAGAAAATAGAAAAGAATGAGAAAAAGAATAAAAGATCCTAAACTTTTTATTAAATAATGATAGGTTTAAGATCACAAATAATTAATGAACTTGCTAAAACCTCAAAACACAAACAAGAATTAACAAAATAACAGTTCACGAAAAAAAAAATCGATTCAATTTTCTGGAGAAGTCCAACAAATATAGCCTGCATGGAATGGTAGGGACCTGAACGCCTGATATAATGGTGAATGTTGGCTTAAATTGAACACTTTAAATTTCAAAAGAAGGTTTTAGGAGATGTTAAATGATGAATCTATCTTTGGCAAAGCTACAGTATTTTGATTGATTTATGATCAGGTCATGAAAACGTTTGAGTGTTTTTTTGCCCTTGGTTAGGAAAAGACTGTTGCTTAGGGTCTGTATTTCAGTAAACTATGCGCTTTAATTGATCTCTTCCTTTAGATTGCCAACTTTGCAGGCTTTATAATGCTTTAAAGGAAAGATTTAAGCGAAAATATGTAGCGAAAAAATAGATTGATTTTTCATTATAGAGCAAGAAATTGTTGTGAACACCAAAATGAGATTGATATGTTAATTAGCAGTGAAAATTGAGAGTTTATGTATAGTTTAAAACACGAKMKMGAGTGTTTTAAACGGCTTAAAAAACTCCAACACTAATTTGAAACTCAAATCCGTTAAAATTCTTGGAGAAATTGCCGTACAAATATGTTCAGAGATAAATGGGGCAAACTGATCATGCGCGAATCACTTTACAAAGCACTCTTGTCATCCCACATTGAATACGCATAAAGTAAAATAGAACCGCTCTTGGCTGTTCACTGATATCGGTTGACATCCTGCATTGGTCAATGATCAGGTTTCAAACCTGAGACCTTTGCTAGGGTCATGGACCTTTATATCTGATAAAGGTCACCCTTATTAGTATTCTTTATATAAAGAATACTAATAAGGAGTGTTTTATCAGATATAAAGGTCCATGCATGTGACCAAATAGGCTCATTCTATTGGCCTAGTAGCTCATTAATTATGTATGAGTTTTTTAAGCTTTATATCATGATTGAACACATGCTAATTATACAAACTCAAAGATTTGTCTGAAGTCCAAGTTATTGTTATTCATCATGAACATGTAACCAGACGAATAAAATCAATGCATCTTGTATTCTAGTTCTTTTTTAATGTGGTGGCTAAAGAGAGCAACTGTTGTCACAGCTACCAATTTTGCAAAACAAAATTATGCTACAATTATTTTGCCAATAACCTGCTAAACTTGTAACATTTTTCCAAACACGTAACTTGCAATGTAGAAGGGGAATGCTACATTCACTCAGGTAGCCTATTTTGGTCTGATATTTAATTATTGCAAATATATTTATGAATAAAAATGATGCAAACTAGAATATGATGCACTTAATCAGTGAAACTTTAACATTTGTACAATATTGACTATTCTTAGAATTCCAGTACCTRCAGGAAAAGCTTTGAATCTATGTGTTAAATTTCTATTGTTTTTCATCCTAGGAACAAGGAAAAAGTCCTACAAGTATTTATTGTACACTGATTAAGAGCATCTACTCTACTTAACTGCACAATTCTGAATGATAGTGCTCTCCTATTATTACTGCTAGAAGCTGTCAATGTTAAATACAGTATCAAGTTGGATATTGAACATTATAAAGAAAACGATTACAAATAATGTTAAGCTTAAAATTCATCTTCGTTTAAATTGGAATCTGATGTAAGCTATTAAAAGTAATGATAACTTCATATGAGACCAACCTGTTGCATCTTTTCTGGTGACTGAGCTTTCTTTACTTTGGCTTTACATGAGTCAAGATCTAACCTCTTAGCAAATAATGTTCTTCTCTCAGCCTATAACAACAAGCACCTTTTTGAACTCTCTTCAACTTCACAAACAATTTTAATAGTAGTGTACAACAAGGAAAAATCACTAACACTGATTATCCATTTTGCATAAAATAACCAGGTGTCTTTCATTTTGTAGAATATAAGAATTCATCCATGAATTGAATGGCAAACATCTCAGTTTTTGGTTAACAAACAATCAATATTATTGCACTCATTCCATCATCATATTCCATGACATCCTTTGTTGTCTAGTGCATATTTGCCACTAGTCTTTACAACTGCAACCATTTGAAATTGAATTTCATGCACTTTACTGTTAGTATTAAAGTGATATTGGAATGAATCCTTACCGCTATAGTCTTCATATCACCTTCCAAGAAGGATCGTAAAGGATGAAGAAAGTGAGAATCTGTTTTTTTCATGAATTCTTTCTCAGATGCACCCAGCATTTGCTCTGTTGTTCCAACTTTAATCAATGCACTTCCTGAAATCATCACAATACAGTACATTATTAAACAAAAAAAAGTCCATACTGTTTGGCATGATTGGTCTAACTTTTCTAGTATATTTTTCATCGTGTGATTAGAAAAGTGATCAAGCATCAAGAAGAATTATATCAACAAGTAATATGTTTGATGGGAGACCTAAGACAAACTAGCAAAGGACTGTAGAAAGTAAGATGAAAGATGTGGGATGGAAATCATTGGACAAGGCAAGGGATGCAATAAACAACAGATAGAAATGGAGGACATCGCAAGCCACAAAGAAGAAATTTAAAAGTGTTTGGTGTTTAGGAGATTTGAGATATTAAAAGTAAAGATTTTCTTACTAAATGACAAGCCCCCTTATTATTCACAAATTATAATTGACTTTATAATCAATATTAATAATCAATATTACAATTGTCAAGTACTAATGATTTGTGAGGATAAATGAATATGGCTGTCAATCATAACATAGGTGGCAAGTAAATGATATTGCACGGTGACTTCACTGTTGTTTTGGGTTGTTTAAAAATAACTTACCGTAACTAGTACCAGGTCCAAATTCATGACCTGCATCTCTCATAAACTGACCAAGTGTCTGAAGGTTTGTGTTTCGTTCAGGTTTCTTTTTCTCAAGCTTATCCAGAAGATACTCTTCAGCCCTATAGCCTATATCCACCAAGAAAAATATGAAATTAGATATTTTTACTCCTCTACCAACAGTTCCTTCTTTAAATCATGATTTGTTTCAAGTTTGTTTCACAAGATATATAGGAAACTGAAATTAAAAATTACACAACATCTAATACTATTTAGTACATTATTGTATTGACAGGTCTGTGGTTTAACCTGCAAATATGAGGTTGAATTTTCAGCAAACTTAATCAAGCAGCAATTCAATAAAAATCAAAATGAATGCTCAATAGGAAGAGTTCACAATTGGTTCTCTTTCTTTCTGCTTTGACTGCAATCAGCTAAATATTGTTTACTAACTGGATTTCAATTCAAACTAAGTGGCTATAGTGGTTATTTTGTAAATTGTGGTTAACATCCAGCACTTTCAGTGCTAGCATTTCAAATGTTAAAATTCGCAATCACAAAAATACAAATACAATACAGTTTTTTCATCTTATAAATGTACCAATACACCTACTTTATTGTGCCATAAAGAGACAGAAAAAAGATTACAAATTGAATTTATTGAGCAAAACGCTGGGAAATGACTTTCAAGGATCTCAAAAACAATTGGATCTCATTCTCTCTTAAGCACTCTGGATGAAACACTCCAGACATAAAAACATGCCAAATTTGCATAAGCTGTATTTTTCATTTTGTACACAATGCATGAAAATATAAAACTGACAAACATTAGTATAACCTATAAAATTTGCAGGTTTTAGAAAGCTTTTCTTAAACTTGGAAAATAAAGGCATAAGATTTAAGATAAAAACCAGCCGGGTTTGAATGACTAAAATCATAAAATATACTGAAGTCATTAGTTTGATGATGTGTCTTTGCATCAGAAATGTTCCCTGTATTTGCACAAGAGTCAGTCTTTCTTTTTTAGCAGCAGCAAGTGTTTCATTTCTAAAATTGTTACAACAGTTAATGTTGATAAAATGCTCTTACAAGTTTTAGACTAATTATTGACAGGAGTTTTACTTTTTAACAAGCAACACACACCCAAAATGCTAATAGGTTAGGAATACGTGTAAATAGTAGTTTAGCGTGTGGAAGATTCTACTCGCAGGCTAAATTACATATAAGCTTAATTTCCAATTCAAACTTTTTGGGATAATCTTCCAAAAAAATATAAGTTTAACTCGAATTAGAAAGCTAAGGAAGATAAGATTTGAATCAAAATGAACTGACTTTCAACTACCACAGTGTTTGTTTACCACAAAGTCTAAAAATAGCAATATAAAGTGTTTCTTCTCAAGAGAGAATTAAAAGAAAAGTTGAAAGGAAACAATCGGGAGAGATCAGCATGAATGCTGGCCATGACTCGATGTCTGACTTACCAATGTTTGGCTGCAGGAGAGTTTCAGTTTGTCTTAGGAGTTGTTCGGTTCGACATTTTGTTCGGTCAGCCTTTTCATTTAATGACATAAACCTTGCATCCAAAACAGTAGCCTCGGATTTTCCAAATTGTTCTTCCGTGTACTATGCAAGCGTCAGATAACGTTAACACAAAATTCTACAAAATTTGACGGTATTTTGACATAATTACCTACCTGTTTGGCTCTATTAAAAAACGTTGAAGATGCTGCACCGAACTTTTTCATGGAATCTGAAAAGTCCGCCATGGTAAAAGAAGAAAAATGATTTTTCGAGATCGACATGATTTTATTATAGCAGAATTAGATATTAGAACCCAGACCTTTCTTTTTGAAGCGGCCAACTAAGCACCCAACCGAGGCTACACCACAGGCAAACCGACTCTATCTAGGATTCGTTTTTGAGAAGTTTACTAAAAAGTGTGATGATATACAATTAAAAAATGAATTAGGAATCTACACTGAGTATAGAAATGTATATTATATGAAATTTGTTCACTTGAAATTTATTTCCAAATGAGTAGTATCATGGAAATAAATTTTGATCTTTGAAAAAACATGCCCTAGTAAGATATGACCCAAAAAAGCGGGGGGAAAAGTTGAACAGTCAATTATCAATCTACAGAAAATGTTATTGATTAAAAAAGTAAAGATTATCCTATGCTGTCTCTTTCATTGTCCTTTTTCTTTGCTTATGCTTTTCCCGATTTGTGTGTTTGTGTACTGTGTATTTATCAATATGTTTATGAAATGAATTCATATAATATACTATAGTAACAGTGTAAAAACACAATAAAAATACAAAATATATTAAAAATGCAAGAGGTAGGCTGCCTGCATGACTTAGCCTCCTCCGCAGGCATCTCTCTCATACTTTCTCTCTCTCTTGAAGTCTGGGAACAAATATACAAAAGACGAAGCCTGTGGAGGTTCTGGTGGTATGGCAACCTGACTTGGTTGCTGCAATGCATCCTCTGACGGTGGTGCTTCCACATCGTCAGGCAAGCGGGGGTGGTGGGTGTGGAAAACAATACAATACAATACAAAAAAAGGCAACTCTCTTTCTTCTCTCGCCCTCAGTCTCTCGGCCTCTAACCAAAGGAAGCCCAACCGCTCATATAGAGTTGCCTGCGGAGGAGGCTATAAGGATGACTGAACAAGTCGTAGCAGAAAACCTCAAAGCGAATCAGCTTATTATAAACGAATTAAACGAGACAGAAATGGACGAAAAATCTCCTCTCATGTCGGTGCAAAACAGTACAGATGATGCGTATTCACAAACAAGGTAATAAGTCCTACGTTCATTTAAGGTTAAGCTTATTCAACCGAGTGTTTGCCGCGAATGCAAGCCGGAATCTTGGAATTTTTGAACGATCACACATGAATGTAGTCACAATACATATATACATTAAAAGTTTGTCACTCTTCTCCTCTATACCAATAACATTCTTATAAAGAAATTATTAATTTTTTGCGAAAGTAAACTTATTTTATGCGATCAGAAGGTCTGTCAGTCTCTCTGTATCTGATCCCCATCACGACTCCATTGCATTACTTAGCTTACAGACGCTGAGACACAGGTTAATCCAGATGTTGTTTTAAACTGCATTTTCTTTCAAATCGCATTAGCGCCTTAGGGTGACATACGCACATCTATAAACTTACTTGTTTTTCTTCTGCCCTAGATCGAGCTGCTACACTGCTACACTACTTCAGTGTAGTGTGAACACGCCTTCACACATAGTCAATTTCATAATATATCCAGATAATTATGGTCATTTGTTTTTGTGTTTGGACTTTAATAAGATTTTATTATAGCAAATATTTTATATCTTTTTCTCTAGAAAACAAAGCTCTTCACGACAACCATTTATCCATAATTCGATGCAGAACTTACTGGGCAAACCAGAGGATATTGACCGTTCAGCAATTTATCACAGATATAAGTACATTGCTAAATTATCTGGGCACAGTACGCATATGGTAGGTTGCAATTGTCAAAAGATGCTTTGAACTTTAAAAGGGGCTTTATTATTATGGTTTTACTATATGCATTAAGGTTTGCTTTAAAAAGAAATTATTATAAATATAGGATTTAATGTTTAAAGTCCGACAATGAGGACTTGAAATCCCGTCCAGTCCGAATTGGAGGACTTTGAACGACTTCTCATACTCATTAATTATTCGGGAGGGGTAAAAAGCGAAGGAAATACATATAACAGAAATATATTGATTTATTGCACCTCCACTAAGGTTTTCAGTTTTCATAATTTTGAGTACATGAAGCACCGTTTGTTGTTCTTCAATTCGCTGACGGCTTTCTGAAACAAAAGCTATTCAAGTTGTCTTTGTCTGCTATTCATGGCATTCCTAATGAGCCTAATCCATAAGATTTATAAGTATGTTATCTTCCGAGGAATCGCATCAGAAACTCGGTGGTGTAATGGTATAAGACAGCGCATATAGACTGAACGGTAGGGGATCGTGAGGGAGTCATGTATCAAAGACCTTTTTTCACTAAATTAATGTTAAACTGATTATTTCTAATAATTTTGACCTGTATCAGGCTACTAGTAAGACAGAAAAGTAAACCTCGTGGCTAAGTCCGCCATTATTTATTGTGCGAAGTAAAACCTNTGGCCGTCAATGCATAAAGTGGTTTTGTATGCCATACTGTTACCACTTAATGTAAATAGATTGTAGGTTTGATCAGGCTCATCTTTTTCATCTACACTCACTTGATTTATTGGTCTTGAAGAAGATGAGGCTTGTTGTGATCTTTGTTTGGCTTTACATACCTTTGCTATGTGACCCTCTTTGCCACAAAAGAAACAGGACTTATCTTTAAACGGGCAGTGTTCCTGGTTGTGTTTATCGCCACAACRATAACAKGMTTKCTTAATTTTGGATAACTCTCTGGTCTCCACTTTGTGGACCTCTGAAACAGGCRGTGCAGAGACTTGCTGTTGGATATTTTTGGCTCCTGAGGTGGCGAGCTCAATGCTTGTAGCGATTTCAAAGGCTTTTGTAAAAGTGAGTTTTTCGTAATCGCTGGAAAGTAGTCGCTTTTGTATTGTGTCGTTGCATTTTGTCCCCATGACGAGTCAGTCTCGAAGCATTTCTTCTAGAACCGCACCAAACTGACATGTTTCGCTAACTTCTCTCAAGTTAGCAGCAAATGATGCAACAGACTGATCTGTTGTTCGCTCACAGCGATAAAATTTGAACCGTTGAACTATTGGCGAGGGTTTTGAGTTGCAGTGGTCTTCTAAAGCCTTACAAAGCTCGTTGTAAGAAAGCTCTGAAGGCTTTTTTGGTGAAACTAGTGAACGTAGAAGGCTGTATGTTTTGGCGCCAACGACGCTTAGGAGTATGGCTCTCTTCTTGTTTTCATTTTCGACGTCGTTCGCCAAGAAATATTGAGAAAGTCGTTCCGAATAGTGGATCCATTTTTCGTTAGTAGGTCAAATTCTTCGATTTTACCGTACACTGCCATTTTTAGTTATCCTCGTCGCCAAAATGACCTGTATCAGACTACTAGTAAGACAGAAAAGTAAACCTTGTGGCTAAGTCCGCCATGATTTATTGTGCAAAGTAAAACCTTGCCGCAGGGCAGCATGGGAATTTACACAGGGGGCCCAATACACAACAAATTTGATTATCATTAGCTATTAGTACATGTAGTTGGAAACATGGTAGAAGTAACTGGAAATAAGGTAGAAATAGCTGGAAATAATGTAGAAGTAACTTGAAAAAGGTAGAAGTAACTGGAAATAAGGTAGAATACAAGGTACGAGTACTTCCTCTGGTTTCAAAAAAAGGTAGAAGTAACTGGAAATAAGGTAGAATACAAGGTACGAGTACTTCCTCTGGTTTCCAGTTACTTCACGTGGTACAAATTACAATCAGGGATTGGCTGGATACCTCATGAATAGTTAATGCATATGAGAAATTCCTTGAAAATACAGATTTATCCTCTCATTCTGGAAAGATCTCTCATGAGTGAGAGATTTTCAACACAAGAAGATTTAAATCTAGCAACCATATAATGCACAGTCTATCAATCTTAAGCCCCCGGGGGGAGGCCGGGCAAGGGGTACTATTATGATCAATCTAATAAATTATTCTTGAAAATGACGCGCGATGGCGTCGAAACGTCGAAATCTCTTGTTGTCTTTTAAGAATGCCAAAGCAAAAAAAAAGACCAGTACAAGAAGTCTTGTTACTGGAACAAATTAGATTAAACTGGTTCAAAAATATATTGAACCTGAACTACAACATAATTGTCAATATACTGAATTAACATAAATCACAATTTATTTTGAAAAAATGACCACGGCCGCTCTGCAGCAGGGCATTAAACACGGCATAATGTTAGTGAGAATCTTGAGCCATTTACATGTACAAATGTAGATTTTATCTGTCATGATTATGGACTGGAAATATGCCTAGAGGTGCAAATACAAATCCTCAAGCACTAAGAGACTCCAATAATCATTTTGCAATTGCCAAATTTTCTTTACACCATTTCATTTTTATTATTCAGGCCTCAAAATTTTGATATGCAAGAGGGTAATGTCCGCAACAAAAACTGCTTTAATTATTTAATCTCATTTGCAACTCAAGAATTACTCTCAGCATGATCTCATTACTGCTGCTCTTTTAGATTAACATGTGAACAAATATTTCAAAAGAAAAGTAACAAAAAATTAATTAATTAACTAGATGTGCTGTTGTGGACATTACCGTTGCGGACATTACCATTTCAACTTTTGCCATTTTCATTTGTGAAATATTGCTATTTTTTTAGAAAAAGTACCGTACTTCTTTTCATAGTTAAAGCATAGTACTCCTCTAAGGCATGCTTGCATGTAATAACACTGACCAAAATCTATAATTTAATTGCTGACTTTCCACTTTCAATGAATAGTCC